GCAGGAGAAGGTGGTTCTCTTCATCCCTGGCTCGCAGCGATTCGTCAGAGGGTAGAGGAAGTTCCTCCCGCGGACTCGATGGAATGGTAAATAAGGCAGCGTCGGCTCTCCCGTGGGCAGAGGCGTTATTTATGGGGTTGTAATTTAATAAGCGAAAGATGAACAGGGAGAGATACCGGAGCGGAGCGGAAAGCCGAAAGTGGCATGAAAGTAGCAGCCATCCTCCTATTGGCCACCCTTGTCTCTGGCGTCGCGCGGAAGAACGGCCAGCCATATGGCTGACTGGTTGGTGCTCCTGCGCCAAGCTGACGCGCGCGTCCTTGCTTCCGGGGGTGCGAAATGATATGGAAGTAATGGAGTAGCGAGGCAGAGAGCCACCTCCACGGGAGATTGACCTACCGCGATAGCGGAGAAAGGAGAACGCAGCTCGTTGTTACATTCGCGATGACAGATTGATACAATTCCATCGAGAGACTCGAAGCGACAGATTTCCAGCCAACTGTTGTCCTGCTTTCGCTGGTCATTACGTCGAATTAAAGTAACTGGGGGAGGAGAATGATGAATCGGAGATGGAATACGTTGGACCGCGGATTTTTCCATTGAGAAGTTTCTTTGGAAGATGTTCGTTGGAACTTGAACTTCTTTTCATTTTTCTTCGTAGGGATGTTAAAGGTGGAGTTTGAATTAACTAACTTATTTTTTATAATTCACTGCTCTTTATATATCGCTACTGATAAGCTTAATTTTCGAAATTAAAGTTTGCAGCTTGCATTAATGGTGAGACTGTCTAGGACTAAATTCTTGCGAGCTTCAAGTTAATTTTTACTAGCGGTCAATGGTGCTTTGCTAAAGATTTTTTCTGAGGACGGAATAACAGGAAGGGAAGGGAGTGATCTTCCCTTAGGTCTATTAGGTGTAGAGACGTCGAAGCCGCAAGAAAAAGCGAAGGAAAGCGCGAGGCACACGCGAAACCGTGACGTCGTCGGGGGCTGCGTCTAGGAAACGAGAAGAAGGAGGCTGCGAAGCCGGCGTAAAGCCCTCGGGCGAACCTCGCTCCTTATCGATCTGCCCCTGAGACTTCATCCGTGGCCGAAAGGAGGAAGGCGTTTCGGGGAGAAACGCGGAGAGAAAGAAAGAGCGAGAGAGAGAGAGAGCGAGAGTCTGTACAGTTTGGATCTGTGTGTGTAAGATAGACCTCGACTGAGAGCCGGCTACTCGAGCGTGACTCCGCAGCCGAAGCCGAGCCTATCAATATTTCCTCCCGAAATCCGCCGCGGTACCATCGCAGCAATTTCTCTTTTCTTATTTCCCACTTACTCTGACCCTTCCGTCGTTCTTTCTCTCCTCTGATTTCCGCGCGGAATCGAGTGAATATTTCGTCTCGTTTTTCTTTTCCTTCGCCGGTCAATTTACCGGAGTCTTCATTCACCAGTGTTGCCTTACACTTGTGAGAGTTGAATACTCCGGAGTCGTTGCATGAACTCGACACTTTTTCGTATTTCACAGATGAAGAGATGTCAATTGTAAAATAAAGCAAGCATTGTTATCTTAATTATTTTAAAGATCGTTGTCTCGTCGTTGCTAAAATCCCTCTGTGAAAGAGATACAAGGACGAGCGACAAAGTATTTCCACAGCTTTAATAAGTCCAAAATGGCTGCTGACCTAAAACTTTCAGTTCAACGATCTATACTTCACATTTTATTACAAGATATTTCTCGTACGTTGATCTAGCTGAACGCACCGAAAGGGTTAAAGGAAATCGGGTCGTTGGATTTAGGAGTGACAAGGTCGCGAGTGAAGAACGGAAGATAAAAAGGAACGAATCAGCTCGGTCGATTCAGCAGAGTAGAAACACAAGGCTTCGACCAGTTAGTGGTCGAATCTTGGCCGCGTTTTTCGCCTGTTTTTCCGCTCTCCTCGATCCCAGGCTCATACTCAGGATATATAACTGTTATTTTTCGCGAAAGCCACTCCATTATTTCGCTCTCCTCGCCCGTTGCTTTTTTACCGCGCGGCCACACCATCGTCCCTGCTTCTCCTTTCTCTCCTCGTTTCTCTGCCCGCCCGTGTCTCTCCGTCGTTCGCGGCTGGTCTCATTCCGAAGTGCCCCGGCAAAAGCAGGACAATACATTATATTAGCCGTATCATTATTTCTCCGTACGAAAGCTAGCTCGAAGCTAGAAAAACCGAGACACGCTCATAATGGGAGAAATCCCGGCGTTGCTCGCCGCCTGGCCCACGATATTCCCTTGTTCCTGCCTCCTCCACCGGAGAAATCTCGCTTGGAAATCTCGTGTCATTCCATTTTCGTCTTCTTGTGTTTTCTTTCCACTTGGATCACGTTCGAACGTTCGACGTGCCTTTCTTGGAAAGTATCCGTCGTTCCTTTCGCGATTTTTTTCTTTTCGGTTCCGTGGAATTTTCTTTCGGTATTGTCGGGTTCTTGTTTCGGGTTTTCTGTGATTTGTTGGTTTTGTTCTTTTACCCTTTCTGTGTTTGTAAGTGGATGATTGTAGGTTGGACTTTGTGATAAATAAAAATTGTTACATTATTCATGGGACATTGAATCTGTAAAAGTGATATCTACTTTCCTCTGGCGTTCACCTCTTACTTAACCTTCTTCCGTGGAAACAGGAGAATGTAAGGTTTTGTTTAAAAATTTCTAAACACTACATTTTTTGAGATACTTAGACGAAATTTTCTATATCTCAAGATATCGGTCGAAAAAATTCTTCGAGTGTAAATTGAACAACAGTAAAAGGGTTAATTTAAATTTCAAATTCCCCAAACATCGTAAATCATATTTCCCCAGAAATCACAGTAATTCCTTGGAAATTCTCTAATATCTACCATTCCGACGTCTCACCGTCGCTCAATTTCTTCAAGGTCTCGTTTCCCGGTGATCGGAATATTCGAACTTTCGCCAAAAACTCGATCTTTCCTTCACCAACGATCCACAGTCGGGGTGGGTCGATTTTCTCCCGATCGAATTGGCGTAAACAATCACTTAAGGGAGCAGCGGGCAAGCGTTTTCCGTTCCGTGCTTTCCAGGCAGCGGAGCATCGCGCTTCTCTCTATCCATTGCTCGCCAGGTGGAAATACATTTACCTACACGTAGACAGATCCGGAAGGTTGTGGGCTAGGTGTACGTGAGCGGGTGAAGGTAGGTTGGATAGGTGCGCGCATGTAGATAGTGAGGTGGGTAGGTAAGTATCCGCGGGGTAAGTTTTTCCAGGCGATCTGCTCTCCGGATTCAGATCAATACCCGCCATCTGGGCCTTGGGTTGGGGGATACGGACAAGGCGGAAAAGGAGAAGGTGGATGGAGAGAAGGTCGACACTGTGTTAGAGAGAGAGAGAGAGATACGGAGTAACGGAGAAGGTGGAGGAGTCACTCGAGCAACAAGCCACCGCCGCACCCTCCACTGCAATCCTAGACACATCGAAAACCTCCGCCAGAAAGCAATTCCTGTACCTACATACGCCCACGTTTCACGCTGTTCTGACTATGACGACACAGTTGCGGTCTCGTGAAGGAATTGAGATATGCGCGATTCTTTGCGAGAAATCGTCGTCGGTAGAGTATCAAAAGGGTGCAGTAAGTTGTGTTCAAAGTGACTCTGTTATGGATCAAAATTTCCCTTTTTTTGGTTGATCACTTCTGTACTTTTATCGCCCTGTAACCATCTTAGTACCAAAATTCGTTTACATAGAGAAAAGAAAATTTGCCTTTTTCCATCTGATGGTATGCACCTCGTTCCGAGACACCAAAAAATTCAACTTTAATTATATCAGCTATCATCCTTTTATTTTCTCTCGCTAGGTAGCTTCGAAAACCAGAAACGAACAAAACGAAACGAAACCAACCAACGAAACCTCGAGGAATTAAGCGATCTCTCGACTTCCGTCTAACGTGCTCGCCTAATTTGCGTGCGTTTCCATTAACGCCCGCGGCCGCCGGAAATCGCGTTAGTGGATTTCACTTGCACGGTCCAATTCGATCCGCATTACGCTCGATTACATTATCAGGTCTGCGGCGTGCGAGGTAGATCGCGAGGGGCGCGAGCTAGACGATGAAGTGGCCTGCGTATTCGGGGAGTGTCGGATGAAACGGGAGATAAGGTCTTAAGTAGCGACTGATTAAATCTCGGGACATATGTGTGCCGATCAATGGTACCCCGGTGGTCTCTCTCTCTCTCTCTCTTCTTTTCCTCCGCTTTTTCGTGCTAGCTTTTCTGTTGCTCGAAAAAGGGGGAGATCCTCCACTCGTTCAGTTTCCGCGCGGTGCTGATACGCTGTAATGCCATCTCATGGGAGTACGTTCCCCCGTTCCATAGGGCATCCCTTTACCCATAGACACTCATGTTCCTAGCCACCCATCCCCGTCGCGTTGCTCGATCTACCGGGCGATGTAAAAACACTTGAATTAATCGAGCCATTCCCGAAGGAACCTGCGAAAGGTCAATAGGATCGGGGTGACGGACCGAGTGCACGCGCTTATCTCGATGCACGACGCCGAGGGGATGATTCTTTGCTTCGAACCGTCGACTTGTCGGATAACTAATCGCTCCCATTGGCGATCCAGCCGAGCATATGTTTCTCGAACACCCTCTCTTCGTCTCCTTCAATCGGTCTCCACGATAAATTTCTTGTCTCGACGATTCCGTCGATTAATTTGCAGAGTGGTCGATTTCGAGTGGTCGATTTCATTGGGGGCGTGTTTATCAGAACCAGTTCGGTTGTTATCTTGTCACGGCTTTTCAGACGAATTTTATTTCTAAATTTAAGAAAGATTGATTGATTCTGTTGATTAATTTCATGGAAGTTAAGAGAGACCAGTGATTTTTGACGTCATGGTTACGTAGATTAAGGAGTGTGTTTGGTGAAAGATAAGTCTATCTACATAAGTAATTTGATTTTTCCACTTGTTCGGTCATTTCGGGTGTTTTTCGAATTTCGCTGGTAGATCTTTCTCTCATAAAATCGTATCTTGGACTCACCGGTTGATCGAGGAGACGGATGGCACGTTGTCCTGCGAGCAAATGCCCTCGGCTAGCAATCGGTCCCTGATCTCCCAGGCGAACATCGTCGGATTGTCCCTCTTGTAGTTGGCGATCGCCTCGACGACCGGCGGCGTCGCCACCTTTGGCTTCGAACCACCTATGACTCCGGCCTTGAAGCTGCCGGTTTCATAATACCTGCGAACATGAAAAGAAACCACCTGAATATATCCATATCGCGATTCTATTACATTCGTGTGTCTAAAAATATCAACATTCTGTCGTCTACGGTTTCCACGGTAAATAAAAAGAAAAATCACTTAACACCTACGGTTCATCGGCATGGATGACCACGTTATTCTATAATATTCTACGTAACAGGTGAAAAAATTCCAAACCGAGTATTAATGACAATAAACAGAGTTTCGTAGGATTTGATCTCGAATCAATCAGAAATCCAACCCTTCTCTGAAAGGATCTTCGAAACGTGATACCAAAAAGGAATTTCCCCAATTTCCCTTCGATCGAACAGTATCAACGGTAACAAAAGCGTAAAAGAGAAAGAGAGAGGGAGACACACAGAGAAACGATCGTTTTTCCCGCGACGGCCGGCCAACGTCGGAATAACGAATCGCCGTCCAGCGACGCGTCAACGACCGGCTGTTTTAAAACAAACGGCTTCTGCCCCCCGCTGTCTCTCCCTCTCCGCCTCTTTCTCCCTCTTCTTTCGTCCCTCCTCCTCCCCTCCCACTCCACCCCCTGTTCCTCCGGAGGGGGCGCGTGTGTATGCGCGTAGCGATGGCCAATCGCGATTGGCCCGCCGTGAACGCGCCCTTTGTGCCTAATTAGTTAAATAATATCTTCGCTGGTGCTTAAATTCAATTACGCCAGAAAGCCCGCAATAATGGTCCGCTTGTGGGCCGCCTTGATGGATGTGGGTCCGCCGCCGGCGTCGACTCATACCCGCGCAGAGTTCGACCAGCGGCCAATTTTGCGCGCGTTCCACCGTACTCTCTCTCCCCCTCTCGTTTCCCTCTCTCTCTTTATTTCGCCACTCTTTCACAATCGAAACGAAAGAGTGGGAAAATATGGTCAGGTGAAATTCACCGGTGTTGGCCGGCTCCCTGAAGATCCCCTCATGGTTGAGCGCTAGGATTTCGAATTCGAGACGAACTTGATGCCTTGGAGCAGTGGTGAGCAATAATTTGCGAATTTTTGAAATTTTGCGTTCAGCAAAATACCGCATCCTATGTATCGACAATTTTTAATCGATAAATTGGGATTTTTAAGATCGCGGTTGCAATTTTTTGAAATTTCACCTTTAGCGAAATATCGTACCCTGTGCGTTGACAATTCTTAATTAACGAATTAGGATTCTTAAGGTTGCAGTTGCAGAAAAGATTGCGCATGTTATCCTACAGTGCAGCTAACCTAAGCTATAGTGACAGTAAGGCACAAATACACACGGTCAAATCGTGAGAAGTTGATTCGCGGTGACTCGATATCGCGGTGTCCCGTCGGTGTCAATTCGAAGGAGAAATTAGCGATCTACTTGAGATCGGTGTTGCTAGGTAGCAGTGTCAGCTTAGAAGGAAACGACAAGGAGGAGAAAGCGATCATAATCGGTATCGGGCAGGAGGGAAAGCTCGAAATTGATCCGCCACGCTGGAACTCGATTATCCAGAGATGGATTCGACGTGAGAAACGCGATCGAAACTTCCTGTATATGGATCTGTTTGACTGGTGGGAGGTGGCTAACGTGTGTTCTATAATGTGTCGTTAAATTGCTACATTGTCGTTGGATAATGTATTAGAAGATAATATTCACCCCGGAAAAAGAAAGGATCGTGAACCTGTTACGGTCGAAAGAGTTCGAGGGTTCCCTTAAACGGTTCTGCGTCGCCCCGTTTCGAAATTATTACGATTATATCTGGCGTAAAACCCCATTGCCCGGTCCACATGGCTGTGCTCACCCGTTCTGCCCTCTTTGTGCCGCCCCCATGTTCTACCGTGAAATGCCCATTACGTCGCTCGATTTTTGAAATCGACTCAACACGGCCTTGGTCACCCTAGTCGCATTAATTTTGATTTTAAACGAGCTTGCTGCTGGAATCGTTCGTAGAATCGAGTCGATCGTGATTTTGCTGATATTCGCTGGTGTAATAGGATCGTTCAACCCTTTAAGGGTGAATCGATAAAAGAAAAATTTTGAATTCTTTTCAAATGTGAGGGAAATAGGTATTATTTATTTTCTGGTAGAATTATTTGGCGCTAATTGTAGAGATTCAATTTGATATTAATCACAATCAACAAAATTCCAAGTTACGTCAAATTTTCCATTTTCGTGTAAGTTTAATTTGATGTCAGTCGTGATATAAGAAATTTTGAACAATGCAGCAACAAGAATTCGTCTCTTTTTGGTAAAATTATCTCCGAGAATGGAGTGCAAGCTGTTGCTCTGTTAAAAGTCGACACTTCCTCGAAAATCCCCTAAAAGGACACTTTGTGCATCCGCCTTGACAGTCAGACGAGGTTCACCGGTCAAACGAGACGTCCTCGAAGAGTGGCGAAGAACTTTTCAACGCTGTCTCGGTGAACCTTCACCCAGCCCAGGATCCCGCGTTTCCGTTTCGTTTGTGCAGACGCGTCGAAATTGTCGCGATTCCGCGAAAAACCGTCGTACGCGACGTCGCGACGTATCAGTGACGCGTGACTGCGTAAAGCTCCGGTGTTAACAGCGTCTCGACGCCGAGAAACGGTCTACGACCGTTTTCACCGCAGTTTCGCGAGAAACAGCAGGCTGTAAAGTCTGCAGCTTGTAAATTTACAAGTATAGAAATAATAAAAACCGAATATACTCGACTTTGATTCCTGGCATGTCGAAAATGATAGAAATTCCAAATGGTACGAAACGTTTTCGGCAAGAGGTGAATTGAAAAGAATTTCATTTTCATTTCGGTATCGATGAAAAATATTTCTCGTATCTTTCGTCTTTTTTTTATCGTTCACTTGAACTTCTTTACTCGTGACGAAACGGCAGTAAGAAAATCGGTCGTTTCGTATGTCGGCGGTTTCTAAATTTCAATCGAGAACCAACGTGGATCGAGAAAAAGAGCGAGGTGTCGGTGAAAAAGTCGCAGTTGCTCCATCTCGATCGGCTTAATTTATTCGTGCTTCGTGTTTTTGAATAACCGATTAGGAAATCGATTGCGAAACAGAGACCGTTCAACCGCGATTTCTTTCCCTCCTTTGATTCACACGTCGCGCGAGCGACGCACAGCGTTTCAAAACAGCCGCCTGACCGCGCGAAATTACACTTCATCTTAAAACTGTATAGATAATTGAGAACAAGCAAGACTGTTAAATATCACGACTCTTTTAAATTAGTCTCTGTGAAAATTTGAAATATTCCAAATAAAAACCGAGTTGTTTAAATTCAGCCACCCGAATTCAAACTACACAAATTGAAATATTTAAATTCAGCTGATCAAATTGAAACCGTTCAAATTTAAAGGAGATTGCAACGCGACTTATCGATCCAATCGGTCGTAAATCCATTGAAAAATGAGCGTCACCGGTCGACGTTAATATAGCTGTTAATTTCTGCTCATAACACATTGCCGTTAATATCGTTTCGCAATAAATCGTTCGGACATTCCGCGTTTGATTAAAATCGTCCCGAATTTACGATCTTTCGCGGGCCCAACGGCAATTTCCTCCGAATGAATTTCGCTAATTTTCCACGTCAAACTGTAATCATTCGGTCGACGTCGTAGAAACGGAAAATTTCCCCGTAATTATCCATCGCCTCTGAGCTCCATTCTTACGAGCCTTTAAGTAGAAACAGACTTTCACGATCAGACTCGACAGTACTGATCAAACTTCTACCATCTCGAACCCATTCAACGCCATTTCTAAGATTCGTTCATTCACAAAAGTTTCTCTATCCCGTCAAAAATACGAAAAAAGATAACTGTCGTTCCGAGAAATCGTCGTCGAAGTGTCACCGTAGATTTACCATGCGAACCACGGATAATAAACAGTCGAAATTCGATTCGCGTGGTATCCAAAAGGAGAAAGACGGGAAAAATCGTCGTCGATGGTAACACGAGAAGCGGCAAAGTAGTAAATAATCCCGAAGCTAGCCTATTATATAGCCAGGATATACGTGAAAGAGCGTGGTATATACGACAATGATATTCCAGCGGCGGGGACGTATGACATTCGGGCCATCAAAACGGCACGAGGCCACCCGTTATGTAACGTGGGGCGGAGGGGTGGAAAAAACATGGAAACCGCATATCGTCGCACCCGCTGGCACCCCCCGTCGCGGGAGGAAGAAGGGTGGTTCCTTCCTTCCGGCGTCGCAGTTTTCGTCCCTGAGTTCGTTCGCCTCCGTGGTCCTAACAGCGTCTTTAATTAAATCACTCCCAAGCAGGAATAGTCGACTTTTTTTCGACACCAGTTCTTCCTTCCTCTCTCTCTCTCTCTCTCTCTCTCTCTCTCTCTTCTCTATCTCTTCCCTCTGTCTTTTCTTCTTTCGTTTCTTCTTGTCTTCCACGCTCGAGCGTTCTTGGCCACTTGGAACGCGCGGAAATTACGGCGTTACGTCTGCCAAGCCGAGCTTGATCCTCCCGTAAATCATTCGCGCCATCAGCCTTTTGTCTCGGATCGACGAATTAAACACTCGTCGAGGCGGAACTGAGTGTGCGTGTCTTTTTATCCTGCGTTAGATGGTGTTGGATAGTGCCAACTTTTTAGCATACCTCTTAGGTAGTTTTGTTGTTCCTGCAGCTTGGTTATTTCAGGTTTAATCGTTGTCATGTGCTGGTCGTATGTTGTAATTTATGTGGGATTCTAGAAGTGTACTGTTCTACTGCGATCGTTGTTAAGTGTACACTTCCAAAGAGGTTTCGAGATATTCTGAATCAAATTTAACACGTTTTCTACTTCCTGGGTTGTCGGTAGTACGATATAATACTCAGAACTACGCTACTGTCCGCAAGTTTGCTCTCAGACGCTATTTTGTACTTAAAAAACAAAACTCACTTTTGTTGGATCAAAATTTTTTAAATTCCATAAAAATTCTGTCGACTAAAACTTTAGAACCGCTGTGCATTGTCAGTTAGGCAAGAATTTCGACTCCAACAATAATTCCAAGTTAAGAAAAAATTAGCAGTACATTCGACATTGATGTAAATTGACAACTAGTCTCAAACTTTGTTGTATTGATCAAATTCTCGCGGTACCATATGAATTAGCTCACAACAGAGTGTCCATCGCTCCAATTGCCATTCTTGCACTCGCGAACGCGACGATCTAAGGGGATCATCGAGTGACACAGTGACAGGAAGGTGGATAAATCGATGGAGGAAATCGTCGAAGCGGCGAACG